TGTTGTTTCTCTAAGTTCGCCATAAGCCCTAATATAGCGCTTTGCTTCTCCTGCTGTTCTTAAACGCAGTATATCAGCTTTCTGCGCATCTGTCCAGCCTGATATTCTTGCTGCTTCCTCTAAGGCATCTATAAAACTCTCGACATCTTCTTCTTCAGTGCCATGATACAACGGTATGGCATTTGTTAAGTGTGTCGCGCCGCGGGAGCCTATCGGAGCGGGTCGTTCTGCTGCGGCTTCGGGATCGGCGTCAGCCTGCCTAGCGGCTCTAGGACGTGCGCCACCCTCATCCGTAGTCGTATCTACCCCAGCAGTAGCCATAGTTACTTAATTCTAACTTATTTCTAACTTATGCTACTTCGACGGATTTTCTTACTTTTTCCGTCTTTCTTTATTCTAACCAACCTTTTGTTAGCTACTCCAAAAATCCTCGAGACTGCGCCAGCTGAAACAGGTTAGCACTCAGGTGAGTTTAATTGTTAAAGTTTCAATTAAAACCAACCTGTTCACCTAATTTATTTGTGGAGGTCGTGACGAGTGGAGTCACAAGTCGCTAACTCCAGGAGTTTACAGTTAGAGTCAAGAATGTGAGTCTCAGACCAGCAATACTACTTATAATATCTTTTATTACTCTTTTATTACATCAGGAATATCACTTGATAGTCCAACTCTTTAATCGTTACTTCAAGTATTAACATTTATAACACTCTCAATAAAAACATATACTGTACAACTGATTTAGAGAGAGAGATTAGCATTATGAACAACTTCGACACTGCTAAGAAGGTTCCAACTCTCCAGTAAGGGCTGGAGGCTGGCTGGAGATCTAGGTAACTTCAGAACTCGCCGGAGGAACTCTGGAGGACTCTGGAGAACTGACCTTCCATCCTCAGACATGGGTTTTTATAGCAGATTTTCTCTGTCTCCTGGCGAGAGACCAAATAGGACACAGCATCACCCACAAGTAGTGCTGTGCTCCTATTGGCTGCTTAGGGGCAAGTTTTGGACTGTTCCAGCACCACACCCAAAAACCGTCAGGCGATTGGTCATGGTCAACTGCTGTTATCCGGCTGCCTACTTGCTTGTACTGCTACACCCATGTCCTGTAACTGATACTGCTTCAAAGCACGGTGATGATTCATAAAATCTAAACTTTTCTGTAGCTTCTATAGTGCTACAGAATCGAGGACAACACCCTCTATCCTGTCTTTGTACTTTATCTTGCATGTGCAGAACAGTGATGACTAACGAGGTGGTTGACTGTCACAGTAGAGGTGGCCGAGGGCATACAAATGAGTTAGCAGATACGAGGCTAGAATAAGTTTAGAACGACTGTAAGTAACAAACACGAGGCCAGGGCAAGTAAGTGATAGCCCACAGTGAAACTGCAGTATATAAAAAACACGGTTTCTAGCCCTGTGCTTGATACTTATCTTTAAAAAATAAGCCTTGATGCTATACTCTAACGAGAACAAGGAGAGGCTTGTGTAGTATAGCATGTTAGTTACTACACAAGCCTCTCCTTGTTCTTGTTAGTTTTTTATATGTCCTTCGAGTTGTTGACTCGTTATTTGTCCTTCGACCGATTTATCCTCTTTCTATCTCTCTTCTGTCTCTTTAACTTTTCTAGTTTCTAATATAACTTTGGTTAATATTGTTTTATTCTATTTAAATTCACAGAAGCAACGGATGAAATTTCCTCAGCAAAGGGAAATTTCTTCACACATGAGATAACTGGTAGGACAAATCAGACCTCTAGTGAAAATTGTTCCGCCTATATACAAACTGTTTTAAAGCAGGATTATAAAAGAGTACTTTTTTGTTGTTACAAGTTACGCGGTTTGGTGTTTTTTAGCATATGTAAAATATTAATATTTTGTTTAACTTTATTGTAAAGATTAATAATCCTAAAATTGACTTTAATTTTTGACGTAAGTAGAAAACACAGAAATAATTTATTTTTTGTTATTCTATACCCTAGACAAGGATGTTGAATGATGGAACGTGGTTTTTCAGCTGTCAACATGGTGAAAATGAGTGTTACGGCAACTTAGTGCAGGTATGTTCAAACATGATTTTGATCGTTGTGTTCGTTGTACCTAATATCTATCCATCTATAAAAACGACCGTGCCAAGCAATGAATCGGGGGTCCAATGTTCGAGACTCGCTGTACCCCTAATCGTGTTTCGCATTTTTAGCTGCGGAATGCGTTATATCGATGACAGTCAATTCCCCGCCCTCCCTCAGTTTTAGGACTAGCTGCATAGGTGGATGGGTGCTGCTTATTGGTTGCTCGCCCCCTTTCCCCTCTACTTAGCCCTACGCTTTTCATAAGGGACCGTTAAAATTGAAATAATCGAAAACCGTTAATAATGACCTGAAGTTTTGTAGTATGTATAGTATAAATGTGTGTAAGGGCATAAGTATCGTGTAATATATGGACAAAAACGATGTGTAACGAAAACATGATAGTTTCCGTAATAATTCTTTATTGCTACATCTTAAGTAAAACAATGCAATAACAAAATGACTTTTATGAAACTTCAGATTCCCAAATCAGCAAATGAAGAAAATGTTGTGAGAACAGTTTATGCTGATTCGAATGTAGATAAAGAAAACATTGCATAAGATTCCAAGCATATTTAAATTGAGAGGTATAAAATAAGGTTTTCGAACTTGGAAATCGGAATAAGTAAAACTATAAAATAAGGTTTTATGTACGAGAAATGAGTAAAAATATTTTCTATTAAATAAAGTATTTTAGGCTATTTTCAAATCGACTGATAAATAGTATTGTGTGAATAGTTTTTATATATTTTTGAAAGTTTGAAATAATTAAACATTTAATACGATAAGGTGTTATATACAGTTGTTTAGATTAGAAAACATCAACTAAAAATAATCTACCGGATTGAATTGCAGAATAAGAATAACTGTTAATTTTTAGAAGTAGAAATCGTAAGTTAAGAATAATGTTAATTTTTAGAAGTAGAAATCGTAAGTTAAGAATAATGTCAATGAAAAAGAAGTAGAAATCGTAAGTTAAGAATAATGTCAATGAAAAAAACTTGTATATTTTTGAAGGCAGAATTTTAGATAATGGAGATCCAGTAAAAGTAGACCAATAACCTTAAGGTGTAACTTTCTTGATCTTTTTTTTAGTATTTTAGCTAATTTTTCTAATAAATAAAAAGACATTTAGAATTTGTAAAAAATATAAAGATTGTGTAAGTGTCCACAGACTCCATCGGATTTGTAATCACTTATTTTAAAATATTTATGTACCAAACTACTTGTGTGCCCATGACTTTGTTGGTTACAGAGTCCTAAAAACTTGAGTGTAAACGCAATATTGCAATTAATCTTACTAATTATTGCTGGGGTTTCCTATGTATTTTACATAGAAAATGAACGATTTTAACCGGTTGTTTCGGTCAGTTCTTTACAATGAGTGTTGTATATAAGAGGTAAATACCGAACATGATGCAATATGAATGATTTGCTTAGAAGTTGGTAATTTAAGGGTAACATTTCTGTAAAGGATTAATTTTTTTTCCTAGCTTGATTGCTTTGTGTACTATGGACACTGGTATCGAAACCTAATTTTTAGCGATATAAACCTTCAGACTTGCCTCTGGTCGACTGAGGGGGCAATTATAAATGAAAATACTTGTGTAATATAAATCGATAATCGCACATCAATTGAGTAACTTTATTTAATATTTTAAATTACTCTACATTGCGATTGAAAGAGAAGAACCAAACCAGTTGATAAAGCATAAGGAATAATTACATTTTTTAAAATGGTCCAAGATTGTTAGTGAACCCCATTTTTATAGAATTTGTTTTTTTTTCTTTCTGAAAGACTTGTGCAATACAACTTTTGAACAACAAGATTGTTAGTGAACCCCATTTTTATAGAATTTGTTTTTTTTTCTTTCTGAAAGACTTGTGCAATACAACTTTTGAACAACAAGATTGTTAGTGAACCCCATTTTATAGAATTTGTTTTTTCTTTCTGAAAGACTTGTGCAATACAACTTTTGAACAACAAGATTGTTAGTGAACCCCATTTTTATAGAATTTGTTTTTTTTTCTTTCTGAAAGACTTGTGCAATACAACTTTTGAACAACACTGACCAGTCACTCTCCTTTATCCACTGCGCAATGTCCTCCCCACATCCAAATTCTGCAGGACCCAAGGTAAGAACCGTTGATTTTGTCTTTTTAAATTACCTTAATGTTATCGTTTTCTAGTTTTCAAACTGTAAATCTTTTATGAATAGATTTATTATATATTGTTTTCTAATATCAGTTACTAAAATAACGGTGTGAAATTTTCCAGTAGCATAATTATAAAACATTTTTATTAAGTTGTAAAATAATACGGAAAATATTAAAATTGAACGAAACTGGGATTTTTGTCCCTGATGAACGATTATTATTCAATACGTAAGTAATTGTTCACGCATATTATAATTTTTTTTTTGTTTTTTTGCACTGTTAAAGTTTGTAAAATTATATTTGGGAGTACAATCTCCAACTTATTAGTTTCCATCAATAGGAACTTGAAAAAAAAAGGTTTGTTACTTAATGGTTTAACAACGTTTATTATAACTCGGTAGTTTTGACAATTTGAATATAGTTTTATTGTCTAAAAGATACAACAACAACAACAACAATTGAATCCTCAATTGCTTAACTTCTTGGTTATAATTATTGTGTTTTTTTGTCATTGGTTCTCCATGATAACAGAAAAGGCAGCGACAGAACAGTGTAGATGTCTAAATGTAAACAAGATCTGAAATCCAGTAAAGTAGAGCAGTTGATTTTATCTCTCCCTGTCAACCGCACCAACCACATCTGATCTATATCCAAAATGTAGCAAAAACTATAGTTCTAAGATTGGGCTAATCATACTTCCTAAAACTCGTTTATAATGAAAGAATAATACTTGTCTTTATCGGTCTTTTTGTATATGTAACTGTTTTTACCGTACGTGTTATTGCGTTGTTGAACCATTCACATGGCTGTATATTTATTATTTAGTTTAACTTAGATTTTTCCGTAAATACTTGTTACATTTTCCCGAGATTAATTGTATATTATAAAAAGTAGTAAGTATTTCATTGTTAACTACTGTGTATCTTTGAGTTGATACATGGTTCTGAAAAAGTGCTTGTGACTAGTATTGTTTTCGTGTTATTATTAATTTTTCAAACTTTCTAGTGCGCCGACAAACTGAAGCTTGCATATGAACCTATTTCAAAGTGTGTAAACTCTGAGCAAGGAAATAAATGGCAGCATAAAATGGCAGAAAAAACCGACAAGCAAAAACTTCTCCACGATTTTGTTCCAAGAATAGTGATAAACGGGGTTAGTATGCCTTTGTTATATATGTATGTGAGTGAGATAGATAGAGAGCTGAAGTTAAGTTCGATTAGCGGAATTTGTAATGCTCACAAATACAGCATTTTTTATATAATTGCATGCATACCAAAGAATGCAACCAGAGGTTCAGTTTTATACACGTACATAATATGTATTGGAAGATCTACTGACCAAAATGAAATATTCAGCAAATAGAAAAAAGAAAATCTGTTAGAAGTGACGAGTGTAATACAAAATAAAATTAATGTTTGTTGACGCTAAGATTTTCCCTATTAGTTATTGCCTGCATCAAGTGAATTTATTTATATATTTGGTTAATATATGCTCTTCAACACCAAGACGATCTGCCATATAAGTCAAAACCTAAGGACTATTCATTTTCTGCTTTTATTTCCATGAAGTTAATGAGAACATGCTAAATTCCTACCGCATTACGTCACTGTCTTCTCGAAAACAAAACTCGTCGAGTGAATCAGTGTACTTGAATGATGAACAGGTGATAGGTGTATGGTAAAAGAATGTCTTTGTGAAGCAATAGGCTTGGTTACTACCGTGTGTCGAACCATAATAGCGATTCTTTTCATTTCCTCATGATTGCGTCTTTATTAGTAATTAAAACTGTTTCTGACCGAGGTATAAAGCGATTCCAGTAACATCGTATAGTTTTACTTTATATATTTACGTACGTGTGATATTACATATTATATATCATGTAAAATGTATGATCATTAAATTCGAGCAAGAGAGCATGTGGTTACCACCACCAATAACGTAAAGTGGGGCCGAGCGTGGCTGAATGGTTAGCATGCCGGAATGGGAATCTGAGGCTCCTTGGTTCGTGTCCCATTGCTGCAAAAATCGCGCTCCGCCTTTTATGTCGTCAGCTCATTATAAGACTGACGGTCATATCTCATTCTTTGATAAGAACAGTCCAAGAGCTGGCGGTGGATACTGTTGACTAGCCGTCTTCCCTCTAGCGGTGGATACTGTTGACTAGCCGTCTTCCCTCTATCAGTTCCAAAGTAGGAACGATTAGCAAAAGTAGCCTTTTTTTCAGACTTGCGCGAATATCCGAAACAAACAAGTAACATACCTGTAATTATACTAGATTGTGTAACATAATAAATATTAAATAAAGTAAAGCCAGGTCTCGGGGTATTTACGTGGGATCGATAAAATATGTATTTGTCTTCTAAAACACTTAACTTAGTCTATCTGGTACAGACATTGGTTGGCGAACATCGATTTCAGACATTACTTTATCCTATAGTAACTATACGATGTTGTTGGTTCATAAAGAATACTAAGTTGTTTTGTGTGTTTTTTCGTTTTCGACGTTTTACTTTTTAACCATTATTGAAAATGATAAGTGGGGGGGGGGGGGGTTTATAAAATAAACCAGATTCAAACTGGTTTATTGTAAATTATTTACAATTTCCCATGAACCTACTAAACTCTGTTAAAGCGCAAAGATTATGATCGTAAATAAGAAGTCAACTTCATCTTATGCGAATATTACTTTTTTTTTCAGGAATATTCTAGAAAAAACCAAAACAAAGCACTCTATGATTTCACGGGTCTCGTTTGTAAAACCTATCGGGTAAGGAACAATTATTATCACTTTCAGGATTCTACGAGTTGTGAAAAGCAACATAGAAATACTTAGAAAATAATACTACACAATTAACTTTACGATACAACTTTGACAAAAAAAATTATTAGAATAACAGTGAAAGCTTCAAAAATCTGAAAGTAAAAAAAATAAAAAATAGTGGAGATAGTTGGTATAAAAAATGTTGTTAAATTATCGTTTCCAAGTCAACGCTTTTACCGTAAAATGTGACATTTTCATTTCTATCTTGTGTCTAAAGTGTTTTAAATTATTTTCAAAACTCTTTCATATTTGTTCTCAAGAATACAATTTTTAACAACGAATTAAATAATTTGATGTAATACACTCATGATTTGTCTGAATTAGTTTTTATTATAATTTTTTTTGGCTAGGGTCCAAAACCAGAAGAATGTCATGAAACCAAAGACGACGATCTGTAGACTGAAACAAATGTAGTTTTAGGACAGAATAAGTATTTGCTGTTTGTTTGATTTTTCTTAATAAACTGGGGATTCTTATAAATGGTCAACAAAACTACATATGTGATTAAATGTTTGATTTTAGCTTTCGGTAAAAACAAGCCTTAAAATATTGTTTGTGTAGAAGAAAGTGTATCTTTACAAAAAAAGAAAAAAAATCAACGTTAGTAACTCTTTTAATGCAGCGACAAATTTGTATAGATTTATAAACTAACATTTATCCAAGTTTGGCTCACACGTGTATATAACTCCGAAAGTATTAAACTTTTGATTCTATTGATAGTAATGAAACATCACAATATAACTGGAAACATTGGGAAACATCCTACTCTTAAATGGCCCAATAAGATTAGACCAAAAACGAATGAATGATATTATTTAAACTCTACGAGGTTCATCGTTCATAGCATTGTACACTAAGAATTAATGTCTCCTTAAGAAACATAAATGCGCTCTGGTACTAGGTAAATGGCATATAACGTGCAACAGAAATGCTATTGTACGTTTAGGGCTGATATTAGGCTAAATGACTCCTTTGGCATATTAAAAACTATTTAAAATCCGGATATATTACAAGATTGATTAATTTCCATTGTGAAAGTATAATTTTGACTACCTCAAAAACAAGCTTCATTACACTAATTAATATAATACAGGTTAAATAATTCGAAGAATACTAATCCCATCACAGCAATGAAACCCTGCAACTCTGTTTCTTTAAAAAATATATTTTTTTAGCAATTAAAATTCAGTGTTTTTCACTTTCAGCCAGTATTTACAAATGTTCAAAATTTTTTTTTAGTTTCCCGGTAGGTCGGCGTTAAGTTTACGGATTTGCAAAACTTAAAATTCGGGGTTCGATTCTTCGAGGTGAACAGAGTGCAGATAGCACAATGTATAGGTAAAAAACACAAATATACAATTGCTTTTTAATTTTCCACCCCTGGATGTCGCTTATGTCGCTATTCCTTCATGGTAAGACTAAATAATTTAAGTGTTTTCAGTGGTACTGTGAAGTTTCTTCATTTAGTCTTTGTTTAATAGGTAGCGTAACATTTCGAAACCTTTAAAGATTACTATGTCTTACTTAGCACATTAACAGGAATTGACTTCAGATAATTTTTAAATTGTAAAAATTACCCAATGCTTCTAAACGTTTCCAATACGTATTAATTTAGGCTATGATGTGAATTTCGTACAAGAACCAGTATATCTTAATTATTTTTACAAGTCTCTCTCAGTAATTGTAATTACAGTTTTTAACTTGTTAAGGAAGGAAAATTTTTACCTGAAATGTTTTCTACCTTTATATTTCTAAAAGTTTTATCCCGATTATCAAACTACGTTTGAGAAGTAATTGTTGTACCAAGTTTTCATTGTTCAGGAGTGTCAGCATACAAGTTTATATAGTTATATATTATCTAAAACTTATCAAAATTGTATTTTCATTCTTCAAGGTCATATGAAAGTTATTTCAGTTCTAGTTTAAATTTACGGTTTTATAATAAAATGGTTTCTTGAAAGACTTTTTTTTACGTAGTGGGTGTTGCAAGATTTTAGCCATTGGCTTTCACTTTCAGTTAAATATTTTATTTAATTTGTAAAATAATCACCAGATGGCAGTTTTACCTAGTATCCGGGTGGTAATCTTGTAACACCTCTGAGGCTTTCCTAAAACTTTATTAGTTATTTCTATTTTAATTTTTGTATTAAGCTAGATTTATTTATTGTGCAAACTTCAAAATTTTAGAAGCATGTATTACTTAATCTATCAAGCGAATACATAATTATATCATTTACTCTCGTTAAAAATATTTTTATAGACAGTTAAACAATTATGTTAGACTTTGAGGCAGAAAAAATATTTTTATATTTATGTTAACAATCATTTTATTTCAAAAATTGTGATAAATTACGGATTTAATTTTAAAACAAAACTATTATAACGTTTATAGTAGAAGTAGCTGTGACTAACTTTCGACCTCAATTGTGTTATAATGATATCGTACACTATTAAGAAGTTTTAAATTATTTTGAAAGTATCGTAAAAATTGAATAACTTTGGATGATGCAATTATGAGCGTTTTATAGAATGAGTAATAGAGAATTCTACAGTATGAGATCTATTAATATATTAAATTATGTAATTGAACACATCTTTAGGGTACTAGAAAGATTTCCGTAAACCATGAGAATAGTGGAAAATATTGCCTTTAAAAAGTTCAGATAAAATACCAGCATAATGAGTTTTCAAAAATCCGGAGAAATTTTATTGCACCGATATTTTGCCAACTAAATATGATTATAGGTGTAACCACATGGTCACTGTATAAAACATTAGCTTAAGATTTTTGGCACTTTTTTTTTGGGGTCCCCACAGTGGTACAGCGGTATGTCTGCAGAGTTGCAACGTTAGAAACCGGGTTTCGATACCTGTGGTGGGCAGAGCATATTTGTGCTTAACTTCAAACAACCAAACTTCTCTTTGGGAAATTTGAAAGTGAATTTATGCAAAAGATGGACGATAAAATATTACAAACTGCACACACACACACACACCTTCATAAATTGTCACGCATTAATTCATCGTTGTGTATCTTTGTTTTTCCTACTCAGCCAGAAATATGAAAACAGGAAATGAAAGACAATGGTCATGTAGTGCGTGTTTCTAGAGACAAAGGCTCGTTCTTTCTAGAATGATTTAGTGGATATACACAACTACTCCTAATAAGCTAATCTTTATATTTCTAAGTAGTTTATCTCTTTCACCCCCAGTGACTCAGCTGTAAACTTGAGGGTTTATAATGGTAACATTTAGGAGTTGATCACTGCAATGACCGAAGCCCACGTGGCCAATTTTGTAACTTTGTGCTGGATAACAAATTCGCAGATTTTGATAACTTGTTCTACAAGTAGTACACATACTTGAGTGACGTGTTATTTAAGTTCACAGTTAGTCTTACAAGACTTTCATATAAATGAAGACCACCTTACAACGGGTTCTTGCAATGCCAAGGCGAAAGAGCGGAGCTTCTAAACACTGATGCTCTCACTAAAATAATTCACTGGCCGTTAATTCAAAGATAATAAATTATAAATAATAATGTGGGGAAGTTAAACTTTTAATTTTTTAAAGTTTGTGATGTAGCAATAACAGTGAAGAAATAAATTAGTTTTATTGCTGTGATATATGGAACAATATATTTGAATTCCTAAACAGCTGTACTGTTGACTGGTTTGCTGAATTGAAAACTTAAGGAGGGGGAGTGGTTGTTACGCTTGAATAACAAGTTTGTAGACGGTAGTAGTTCAGACAAACATATTATATTGGAATTTAAGAAATATTCTAATCAAATAACGTTACTTACAAACAGTCAATCCCGTTCGTATGTTTCAAAAAGTAGACATTTTTTTCGGAACACGTAGGATTAAATGACGTCATTTATAGCAAATGGTTTCAAAAAAACAGCCAGATACATATCCCTGCAAACACCTGGTGATCAAAGTTAGTCGTAACTTCTCTCCCTGTAATGGAGCTTCCATATCGGACGTCAAACCCGATTAAAATTCATCTCTAGGAATATTAGGCATTAGTATTTCTTAAACTGCATATCATGAATTTCTACCAATGTAAAAGGCATGTTACGTAGATAAAAACACAACATTGAGTTTCATATATACATTTTCTAAGATACAATTGTTTACAAAGTGGTACAAAGTTTATGGACTTGCAACGCTAAAGTCCTGGGTTCGATTCCCCGCAGTGGACAGAGCGCAGTTTTTTTTTTAAATGATTACTGTAATATATTTTTTAATAATTTTGTTTCACAATGGATACTGTTGTTGACCGGTTTGTCACAACTAGTTTGCAGCGTTACAGGTCTTTTCATATTTTTATTGTAGTCAGAAGTCTTGGTACAGTTTAACTACACAAACACTCTATTTTAGGTTTTAAAAAAGATAAAACATTCTATCATTTGCATCAGGACTTCACACATTTACATATATCGTGAACCACGATAGTGCTTCATAACTGGGATCACACAGGAATCTGCTTAAAACTCTAATAGAACATTAGGGCAAAATCCACCTTAAAAAGCAAACTTATTCTTCAAACAACACTCAATTTTCCTTTTCAATAGCTAAGACCACCCTAACATTGATAATAAGCAAAATAAATGAGTTCAGGATTGTTAGACAAAATCAAAATTAGCCCATTTATTCATAATATTATTATTATTGTTTCACAAGCCTACAGAAAAATCGGCAGGGTATTTTGCACCAAAACCTGGACAAATATATTATATGAAATGCTACGAATGTCCATAACTTATTTAAAAGTTGGTTCTTCATTGAAAGTTGATGTACTTGGTTATAACTGCATAATAAATGCTTTTCTACTGGTAAAATGTTATACGCGCTTAGTGTGTGTGTGTGTGTGGGGGGGGGGTTGTGTCTTACTTTGGGGTTATATCTGCCCATTGCTGTACATTAATGTAGCCAACATAAAAGATAATTTAAAATTTAAAAATAGGGATCGCAAAAAGAGTAAGCAAACAAGGCTGGAGATCTACTGCTGACAGTTTCTCAAGCTAGAAATCCATATTATGGCGCCACTATAAAATTATTACAAGTGATATTTACTGTAGCGTGGGATCGCACATGAATTTTGCACAAAACAAAAACAAACTTTTAAACTTAATCGATCTCCTTAATGTTGTTGTGCTGCGAAATCTTCTAAGACCTTCACTTTCCACCATCAAAAAAATCAAATGTTTTCCTAGTGTGGAAAACCCTCAGGAAAAGCAGGAGAATGCATAAAATTTAATTAAAAACCCAAGAACTTTCAGGACCCCAAAGCGAGCCCTGGACCCGGCCATAATGATTGCGCTTGTGGCGCATATTCCCTGTCTTTACTCCGTCAAATAAACCTCCCCCACATACACACTTTTCATTTGCCTCCTACATCTCTGCATATGTCACATAGATCTAACAAGGTAAGATTCCTTTGTTGCTGCTCGTCTTTTGTTACATTACACTGCGACATTGATGGAAGCC